GGTATATTGGGTATATAGGGTTTAGGGATTTAGGGTTTAGGGTTTAGAGTTTAGGGTCCAAGTACCCAACAATTCGGTACTTGGGCTTTGGGTAGTAGTAATTATAGTATTGGTTTTGGGGAAGTATATGATCATGAGGTACTTGGACCCTTAGGGCAATAGGGTTTAGGATTTCGGGCTGTGGGTGGTGGGCTTGGCGCTTAGGATGTCAGACTTTGGGCCTGCAGCAAAAGTTGTCCTTGTTGGAATCTGAACTAAAGTACCCACAGGTACAGGGATTCCAGAAGGCATGTTTGGGGCGTAGGGTTGAAGATCTCGAGCTTCGCGAAATGGGTAATCTAGTAGAGAAGCTATCCTTGGCCCTCTTCAGGGATTTAGTGTTGAAGTTGTTTTAGCAAGGGTCCGCAAAAGAGATTCAAAAAATCACAGGGCAGCTAGGGATGTATGGGCGTTCTTCTTGAGGGTTCGACAGGTGGTCAGATGTCATGTTAAGAATGCTCATACCAACCGAACTGCAGAAGAGCGTCCATGTCTTGTAAACAAAGTCGGATCATTTCTGAGCAGTTAAGACAACCTGCTTAAGCTTCTCATGTCTTGTCAGAAGTGATGGCTGGCTGTGCTTAAGCAGGCAAGCTCCTCAGTGGTCGGAACATGTTTGAAAGGTTATGTAAGCGAGGAAAATTAGTCCTTTCCAATCCTGCTTGCAATGATACGCTCTTGGAGGAATATTAGGCAAACCCTACTGAACTAAAGAACTGAAAACTTACCGGGAGCACTGTGGGGGTCTGTTGGATGAAGCACCACAATCTATCAGGGCTCCTGCCTCTTGCTTAACCCTAAGGCCCTAAGGGTGCCAGTACCTAATAGCTGAATAGTAACTGTGGCACGTCTTTGGGAAGTATATGCTTCTAGGGCACTGTGACAAATCAAAAGACAAATCAAACCAACAAATCACATGGTTTCATGTGACGAGTAGGTTCATGGTATAGACTCAACTGGGTGGGTGCCAGAAGTGGCCCGATTTTTTCTGCCTTGATGCCTCACAAAAATCCTTACAGCAGAAGGGTTCAAGGCATATCTTAAGGGCCCAAAACTTGTGCAAAGTTCACAAATGAATACAGGGTTATACCAGGTGATATTGCGGGTTGGTTTTACAGCGTTATGTAGAATTTCATTGGAAAGTACTCACAATCACTGCCACTTTCGGGGGTCGAAATATTAGGACCCGTGCTATACTAAAGCCACACAAGGACCACATTCGACATCCTCCTGTAGAGGGTTCAACATTGATCATACTCCAACCTGCACACAGCCCTGAAAACTAAACCCTAAACCCTAAGCCCTGAGCCCCAGAAACCCAAGGCCCTTACCCCAACATCTCTAGAGTTGGAGGACCTGGCGCTGCAGGAAGCCATGATGCTCTTGCAGTGTCCTGACTAGGGTTCTGGGTTAGGGCTGTATAGGGTAAAAAAGGAGTTTAGGGGTGATATAGGGGTATAAAAGGATTTTTTGGTTAATGGCGAATACGAAATAAAAAAAAAAGAAGACTAACGCAACTATATCAAATATCTATCAAGGTTTTTTTGCCCCTTGCATGGCCGTGGCAGCGCGCAAGGCACAATCCGGGCAAGGTAATACAGAAGCCTAAACCTTAAACCCTAAACCCTACACCCTAAACCCCTAAACCCTAAACCTTACACCCTAAACCCTACACCCTAAACCCAATACAGCATGTCCAGAGGATGCCCAACTCAGAGCCACCACGCCCAGTCAACCCCAACCCCGAAACCCTTTAGTGCCCCGAAAATAAATAGAATTTGGGAATACATTATAATAAGATCCCCATATACCCCAAATTATATCTACTTAAGGGGGACTATAAGCCCTAAACCCTCGAAAGTCGGCATCCTTCTCTGGGCTCAGACTCCGCATGCTCGCAATACGTTTGCAGCTGAGGTTTCAGGGATTCAGAGTTTAGGGCTACGTAAGGGTTCATGGGTAGCTGGATTGTAATTCCTGAAGCCAGGCCACAAAGCTCAAGAGCTTGTCTTGGGCATACAGGAAACTGCCAAACATTGAGCAGCTCATGGGCATCTCCGTAAAGTGATGTAGGGGGATAAAAGAAGACACCCGCCAGGCCCCAACCCCATGAACTTAGAAGCTAAACAGCTAAACTTATAGTAGGATCTTTAACCCTAAGCCCTGAATAGAGTAGCTTCCATTTTTCTTCTCCACTATCGCTATGTAAGCCCTATATAACCCTAGACTGAAGATGAAAAAGCTGATGACAGCAAGACGTGCTGGCTTGTAGTAGGGAATAGATCGAGAAAGGAAACATATAATCCCACCCGTATAACCTCCAGTAACAGGACCATATACGTATTGGGGTGAGAAGGGAATGAGGGAATACATTACATGGGGAGATTGCAATTAAGGATTAAATTACCTATTCCCTACTAACAACCAGTAAGTATGGTAATCTCGACTTTCTTTTCTTTCCTTGATTTCCTAGAACTACCAGAAAGATATGTCCTGGAGTAGGCCACTTGCACAGAGTCTGCCGTCTCGTGGCCATCCGCTAGGAGCCCAAACCTTTGACGAAAACAGCTTCGCCCGGGTGTTTCATCTTTAAGTACAGTATACAGGATATTCGCATGCCCCCCAAGCCCTGAACCCTAAACCTGGACTAAGTCCCGGCAAGGAGCCCCTTGCCTGGAACTATGGAACTGGATATGTGGGGAGTCCAAATTTCGGAACGAAACTTGAAGATCATCCAAGGGGGGGTTCGGACCCGCCCAATTACTCTACCACTCCTGAAGCAATCTGCCGGCAAAGCTGATTCTGGTCTTGTCCGTCTTATGAATCTGAATTCCACGAAGAGCGTTGACAAACTCGAAGCCCTAAACCCCAAGCCGTCCACGGCAACAGGGAATTGTCTCAAGACTACGGAGGTTATATGAGGTAGGTTTGTTGAGAAACCCCCCAATCTCAAGGCCCAGCTGCAACTCAGCGAAGAACCGCAGGTTCCTCCAGCTTTTGGCTGTTTGGGTTCAGGGTTTAGGGTTTAGGGGTTTTGATACAAGGAATAGAAAGAATCAGGACTGTGGTCCTCTCAAGCTTGAGTAGATAGGATCGAGGGACGCAGAGAATAAAGAACAACTGTCTCACTAGGTGAAATCTATCTGCTCCAGAAAGCGTTGAAGAACCCCTAAGACCAGAATCCCAAGTATAAAGAGATCTCAACATGGACACTGCATGTTGGATAACTCTGCAAATCGTGCCTGCCAAAGCTCAAACCCACAATGCCAAACCATGGCACACGCCCCCATGTGTCCTAAAATCTGCGTCCATAATCCTTCTCTTTAACACTAAAAAGTCTTGCTAAAAAAACTCATTATCTAGACCCCCCCCCCTCCCCCAAACTCCCAAAACCTTAGCGCTACAGAGAGGAACCAACCNNCCCCCCCCCCCCTTTTTGTAAGCCCATGGTTCTAAAGAGGCACGCTCCTGGCCACCCAGAGGTTAGCCATGGCAGCAGACTCATCCACATACTCCTGCTGGATTTTAGGATTTCAAGGCTTCATTAGTTTCATGGGGCTTGCTACTTGCATGGCATCACAGCAGTGGGAGGTTTAGGGTTCTGGATTGAGGTTTTTAGCGCCCGGGGCTTGAAGCTAAGGGTTTCGGGCCCTCTTTAGGTAGCGTGCTTCTTCTAATGTGGAAAACACCAGATAGGGATAGAGGGTATGTAACATATGTATCTATATATAGGAGGGTGTATAGGAACAGACAAGAAATCTTGCTCCGCCGGCATTGATAACGTTGACAGTGGCCCCAACCAACCAAGAGCCCTGGATGAAAAGGCTACTCAGACCTTTTTGATATCGACCTTAGGCAGTTTGGCAACAGGCTGAAGATGGCAGCAATACTTCGTGGCTTAGGCTTTAGTGATCATTTGCTTTGCCATCAAGAATATGTTCCAAATCCTGGACCAACATGTCAGGCATGGTTCACTGTGCATTGCAATGACAAAAAAGTTGCTGTGGGCGAGAATGGCGGCATCTCAGCAATGCTGCTACAGCATGACTACAACAAAAAAACAGCGAAACATGCCAGCAAGGGGCATGTCAGACCATCGACAGCGATTTCAGGTGCTTGTAGCGCATGCTACAGCCCATTTGATGATAACCGGACACTGAAACGCAAAAAGCAAGGACAAATATCACAAGGTGTTGGTGATCGAGTGATGACTGGGATGACGACGGGCATAATGATCATGATGTTGGTGATGTTAGCGGCGATGGTGGCGCTCATAATGGAGGTGGCGGCCTCAGCAAACAACATGAAGGGCTTGGCGACTGAAACATTGGAACTATCACCGCCGGCTGTCACTGCCAACGTCTTTTCAGTCAGGTAGCAGTATGACAAGAATTTGAAAGGAAAGCCGGAGTTATAGAAGCTGCCGACTGTTCTCCTTGTAGCCCGTCTCGGCATGCACTGGGATCTCGGCATAAAGCCAATCCCGGTAGGTCGCCTGGCAGCTATGACTTTGACAACTGCGCCGTAGAATAGTCATAGAGCGGATTTTATCAAAACCTTGTACCCTAAGAGACCCTAGGGAGATATAGGGTTTGCAAGAGGATCTTGGGTCCCCTTAAGGATCGTATTGACAAACACAGCTATGACTTCCTGCATAACTTCTATCGGGCCTGCTCCTTTCGTCCAATCGAGCCTTTTGGATAGCATGTGCTGTTCCTTGAGGGGAATAATTCCCAATATTCTGCGAATGGGCTTTCTCCAGGTCTTCCAGCTTTTGCATGCACTGCGTCAATTACAACATCTTATGAGAGCTAGTCGACTTATGCCAGAAAGATGCTTGCAGCTTACGTGGTGTTGGCTGACTTTAGGCACAGAAGTACAGCTGGGCCTACCACAAAGCTACTTTTGAGCTACTTATCGGAGACGGGACTTAGGGCTTTATCCTCTCAAGAGGAGCCAAAAAAGAAGACAGACCCCTTGACAAGGACCCTTTACAACAAAATATGAGGGAATCCAGAGGTCTCTTATCTACCCTTTAGGCATCTACCTCGTGCAGGATCTGCTTCCAAAATTGGGTCTCAGCCTCTACAATAGTACCCCAGACTGCTGCGTGTCGCCCTACAAACGTGCCCAACAGGGGCCCATAATTGCGGATAGTGAGCCTCTAGCAGATTCCAAGTTGACCTGGTGGTTGTTCCAACTGCCTGCACCCAAAATGGCCACGAGATACGTGCGCCTTTTGATTAGGCGCCTGCCAATCCAAATACAGCTTCGGAAGTCTCAGAGTCATACTCAAATGCTTCAATGACGGTGCGCGCAAAGAAACAGGCACGTTGCACGAAACAAGCTGTTTCTCCGCTTCACCTTAAAACGAGGAAGATGCTTGGCAGCTGATGTTGGTTGTTGCCTGCCATACTCTTCCCAAAGTAGGGATGCCAAAATGGGGACGCTTCCCCTAACAGGAGCGCTAATATCGGGAGATCGCACTATGAGTCCACATGATGCTGTGGATGGAGGCAGTCTTGAACAACCTACAAACCCACAATCTATATGTGTTTCCAAGCTCAGGGGTATGTGTGGAACTGCAAGATTTCCTCAATCCACAGTAGGACATGAAAGCAATGATTCCTACACCGGGTGGCCTTGCCATACTTGGCCATGGATCGGCCGAGCTTCTCCAAGTCTGTTGTGAGCCTTGAAGCCCTTTAATGTTAGGGGCCACGCACATAGAAGATCAAATGAAACTGCAAGCTTGAATTTACATGGACAATGGAATGGGAAGCAGGCACTTGCAGGCATATATTCAGGCGAACCTAGATGGTTCTATAAGCGCATACAAATCCTTGGTGATTATTTACGCTTCTGCATTTCCCTGTGTTACCCGTGCTCAGTTGGGAATGGGCGAGCGGGCTGTAGAGACCGTTGCAAGAGTTGTGCCGTGTGTTACAAGCTTTGAATCCTTGAGCACGCAGGAAAAGCCAACAAAAAAATCCGGCAGCGAGAAAGCATCTGTAGCGAGAAGGAACAAAGAGAAAACATCCCAGCATGCACACCTGTCTCTACAATGACCTGATGGTGCTTGTTCAAGACCCGCCCCCCCCCCCCCCGGCTACATGCAAAGCCAGGGTTGCATGTCATTCTCTCATGCTCTTCTCCATCCAAGTGCTTTCCCGTTATCCCAAGTAATAAAAATCGTATGTATGTGTATGTATACATATGTAGATATATATATATATGTATTTATACACATGTGCGCTTGTAAAATGACCTAGCATGGAAACATATCTTCACAATGACCAGCAGCAGGTCGTTCACGTGCCAGCCAACAAGTTCCAGCACTAGAGCGAAGCTTTGCCTCCAGGAGCTAGGGTTGGGGGTTTAGGGCTATGGTTAGGTTTTGGGGCATGGTTTAGGGTTTAGGGTAGCTATGTGGTTCTTAAGACACTGTGGGTTACATACATGGGTGGGGGGGGCCGACATAGGCCCCAACACGCTAGCCATTCTTAAAAGGACCGGACCCCTAAATTCTGCATGGAAACCCTGAAATGATTCCCTAAAAGCATGAAACTTCCCAAGTTCAAGTGCTTCCCGAAAAGGAACCTTTAGGCCTTTGAAATGCCAGGACCCCCAAGCACCCTGAAACGAGGGCGCGGGTATCTAGGTTCTATAGTGCACTTGGGGAGGGGACTAGGTGGGGCTCGGATCCTGGAGGAAAAAGAAACTTTGGACCTAGCCTCTTTCCAACACCTGTAGACAACCTCAATATATACCCCTACAATCCCTATATGACCCCAATATATGCCCTAAAATCCCTCCCACCTTGTCCTACCTAGTTTTGCCGTCTAGGTCAGAAGAAGCTGTCATAGGGGGGCCTAAACCCTGAACCCGAAATCCGAAATTCCCTCGCCAACTCTCCCTCCGTCTCCAGTAAGTCCATCTGAGCTATAGCCTAAACTCCTAGCATCCCCCTTAATAAGCCCTGGGAGTCCTCCCCTATATAATCCCCTATATAATTAAGCCCCTGTAGGGAGTTTAGACTATAGTACATCTAGGTCTTCCATGTTCGGCGCGCTACACTGGCACAGGCAGCTTGGGTGATGTAAGCCTTTGGGGATGGCTCAGGAAGCCTCACTGGGATTGTTAGGGGGTTAGGGCTTAACGTTTAGGGTTTCGGGTCTAGATCTCAAGGTTGCAATTCAGGCCTAATATGTAAAATGGCAATTACCAATACGCCATTCCCTCCAACTTACCGCTGCGCCAGTGCCCGAACGGGCCTTCCACAATGAAAAGCTACACCCTTTACCCAGATAACGTGCCATGCAACTTTAAAATGCCAGCTAGCCCCTAAAATTCTTCAAAAGAAGCCTCAAGCCTAGGATCTAAAATCCATCTTGGAGCTTAGCTGCAAGCCCTCCAGGAAAGCAGCACTGTGCAGATTGTTAACCTGCATGCGCTGGATGCAGTTTGAGGTGCGTAACGGGGGCTTCATACATCGCGCCCCCATCAGAGATCCCAATATACTATGATGCGTATCATTAGGACTTAAAAAAATGGTCCCAAATTCTTGGAAACGCCCATTTCTGTAGAGTATACCTGCAAAAACGGCTTACTAGTCGTTAAGCAAGTACATAGATCGGTTCCAAAGTTTTCAGGGCTTCGGATTCCAGATTGTGGGATTAGAGTCTGAGGTTGTAGGCGTGTAGCCTCGCCAGCTTTTTCGATTGGAAGGCTTTAGGGCTTATCCCCAGTGCCACCACAGCCAGTCTGTGTCAGGAAGAAATTCCGGGAAAATTCTAGGCCGCAGACCCCAGTAATTCGCAAAGTCTAAGCCGAAAGCCTGTAAGTCTACACCGTAGCGCATCTCTGCCCATACGGCTATGAAAAAAGGGGCATCATTTCCTACTGAAAATCAACGAGGTAGTTTTTGTAGAATCTAGCCCCCGTTGTTTGGGAAAGCTAGGCAGCCAGAAGTATTTGCAAGCCATGCAGAAACAACAAACAGGGACAGCCACCACGAGCACTGGCATCGCGACAACCATGATAACAATGATGAACAATAACAGGGAACGATCATCATCGTCCTTGATTGATGTCATCATCATGGCACCAGTGGAGTTACATTACTAGCGGGCATTGCTGCTACGCTGCCTTCCCAAGCTTCTTTGTACTGTTGCTGTTGCTGCTGCTGCTGCTGCTGATCCTGATCCTGCTCCTCCGTGTCCGCGCACAAGCATCCGTCCTTGTGATCGTTGTCCAGCATAGCTGCCCTCGTCAGCTGCGAGATCACCTCGATAGAATGGCTTCAGTAATGCTCAGCAATTCTGTGCTGCGTACCTCGCACCATGAATTGAGCCCAAGAGTTTCTGATCCCAAACCCGAAAGACTGAAGTACATGTGACCTAGGAAGTCTTACTACATCTAGCCTCTCCAAGGTCATCAAAACAATGCAGAATGAAGGTACGGGTGTCCAATCATTGTTATTACTCGGACGCAAGGATAGGCTCACGATCAAGTAATTTGTTGGCAGTTGCGTACTCGACATGGCCCACCCCAGAAGCACCTATCACTTAGCAAACCTTTGGCTATGGTGGTATAGTACGAAGTATACCTACAGTCGGCGCCTCTTAAACTGAGAGTCTTTGGGTGACCCTTGGAGTACCCAGTCCGCTCGTTCAAGCCCAAAGAGGCCTCGTGGGAAGGGGATACTCTGAGCAAGCGGCCATAACGTCAGCTATTGGATGCCAGCCCTTGTGGACAACCATGACATATCTGATGCAAGCCGTATTCAACCAATGGGTGGTTGTCAAAATTCTGGCCCCTTTTTGGGTACCCTAAATATTAGGTGCCGTATTACAATAGGGATCCAAAAAAGGGACCATAATTTTGACAACCACCCCAATAGAACCCCCTAAGTGGGCCCAGGGTTCATCAGCGTGACCCGCCGTCTAAACCCCCTTGCACATCAGAACCTCATAGAGTGAAGCCTTCACTTACTCTCTGAGTCACAGAGCAGATGCAGCAAGGACATTGCAGTCAACATTGGTGACGGCTTTGAATAAGGTATACACGAAATGTCCATGACACAGACCGTCACGCGTTCCAAAACGTGAACTAGCGCCGCTTCTTGACTTTTACTGTCCAAGCCACTGGTTTGGGGCAGGGCTGGGATAGTTTGTCAAGTCTTTCAGGTAGTTCGAGTTGTGGCCTTTCATATTTGTTCTTCTTACTGATGCCGAAGACGCACCAGTTACAATTTTTTATTGCCAGCGAGTACTGATGTTTGTAATCTAAATTGAATCAATGAAGTAATTAATGAGTAATTCATCTCCTGCTACTGATTATAATACAAATGTAGCACTTTATACTCGTAAGTTCATTGTGGTAGTACCCATTGCTTGTTCGTAGACACTCCAATGTAATACCTTTTTTGGGGCCCTAACCAATTAACATCATACCAAGCCCCAAACCCACACAAATTGGAGAATAAAAACAAACCGTAATCAGAAGCTATTTTGGGGGCCTTAACTCTAAGCCCTAAACCCCCCAGCAAGCCGTGGGCCCCGCCGGCCGCAATACGCCAGCAGAGTTCACACCCAGAATTTGTCTCGCCGAAGGCTTTGCGGGCTGCATCTCCTTGTTGCAAGGGTTCAGGGTTCAGAGTGTGGGTCAAGAATAATAGTAGTAGAAATCCGTTTAGTATTAATATAAATACTGATACCCATAATAGTAGTAGTAGTAGTAGTAGTAATAATACATACTAGGAGTGGGGTTTAGGGTTCATGGGTGAAGTGTTCAGGCACCCAACTTCAGGGTCTAGGAATGAAATAAGGATGCGAGGGCATATGGTCTGAAGATGTTTTGTCAAGGCTCAGAACACTTCCCAAAACAAGGAACTACAAAAAGGCCTCTGGCTGGGCATCACCATGTCTTGATTGAAGTCTCATCACTTTTGGTCATCACATCCCGTAGTCCAAACCTCAGTTTCGCTCTAAAACCGGGACTCATACTATCCACATGAGCTATAGTCTAAAATCAAAATATCCCTCATAAGAACCCTTGTAATAGTTCCCTATAACGCTCTCAAATAACTCCTCCATGGAATTTAGACTATAGCTTGTATAAGAAGCAGTCACCAAGCCGCTGGGCGCCCTTCTCAGCAGGGTCTTCTTCGCCCGGCAGAATGCGAGAAGGATTTGAGGCAAGTGGCACCGCAATCAAGGAGAATCAACATTTCAACTGAGTCGTAGAGGGGTTCTACAGGCATGTAAAGGAAGTATGTGTGGATGTTTCAAGCAAGCTGCAGAAGCCAGTTTGGGTCAAGTCTCCCACTGGCCAAACTTGTCTGGAAGCCCGTCGAAGGACCACATGTGGATACCCTGGAAGTCCTGTCAGGAAAGCAAACTAACACTTCAGCCCTAAACTCATTCACAGTTCAGGGCTGAAGGCATAAGTCCTGAACGCGTAGGTGCTGAGCACGTAGGCTTCAATTTTGGGAGACGCGGTACTGATTCGTGCTCTCAGGATCGAGGAGCAATGAGACCATACTCTGCCAGCTTTTGCTCAGCCTTCGACATGTTAATGTGACCAACGCTAGACTGACACATTGTAACCGGAACCCTAAACTCCAAACCCTAAATCGATCGGTTCAGGCGTTAAGGGGCCATTCCAGATGAGTTTAAGTTTAGATGTAGCACTCAAAGAGCGAAGCGCCTTCTCGAAACCACGCATACATTTCTGGGTTCACTCCTGTACTAAATTGCCCCTTTTTTGCGAGCAATTAACCAGCTCATCAAGCCTTGCAGTTGAAATTCTATGAGCCAGCAACTTCGAAATTTCAACTGGAAACTCGAAACTCAAATGGCGCTTTCGTAAAGCTCGGGTCGTTCTTGTATATCACGAAGCAGTATAACTCCTTGTCCAGGGACCTTCAAAAAAAGTAGGATCCTGGAAACCCCGATGCCCCAAGTATACAAAAACTTGGATCCTCCAACAAGAGGCACTAAGATGTGGACCGGAGTGTTTCTACCAGGCATGCCCGCTCTCAACAACTCCTAATCCGCTACCCCTTCCCACCCACATTCATAACAAACTGCCCCAAATAGAACCACTATATGCTCGGGGGCATCTTCAGTATTAGGAGAGGTGGGGGGCCTATCGGGCAGAGGGGATTACACTCTTAGACTCGAGCATTTTCACCCTACACGCTAACCCTAAACCGCGCTTTGTTTGGGTCCCAGTTTTACAGTTGAACTGTCGGCCGTGATGTGGATACCAGAAGGTCCTTTGAACTACTGTCACAAGGATTGTCACTTTAGGGGAGGGTAGGTTTTAGGTCAATTTTTGAGGTTTCATCGTGAGCCGAAATCGTTAACCCTTCAAAACTTCGCTCTGAACTCCGCACACGCCATATAGGTCTCCTGCAATTGCCTGCGATGTCCTAACCACTTCTTGTGTCATTCAGTTCGCATGAAACTCAGGACATGAATTTCGTACAACTTCTACAAACCCGCTTTTTCATCTGGTCTTTCTTGGATAGTCCCAGACATCCTGCCGCGCGCAGAGGACGAAGCCTTGGTTTCCTCGGGAGCGCAGGCAGTTGCCGCTGACGACCCACTGCCTCCGCACAGCTTCACCCAGGTTTAGGGTTGAGGGTTCAGGGTTCTTAGAGTTCAGGGTTTAGGGGGTTCAGGTTCAGGGCTTAGGGTTTGTAGGGAATAAGGAAAATATAGCACAGGGGCTATATAGAGATTATATTCCCTTCTTACATACTAACCCCCAGTAAGTTAACCCAGACTTCGGGGAGGAGGATTTAGGAAGGAGGTGCCCCAAAACCCAACCCTAAATCCTCAACGCTAAACCCTGGACCTTATGTCCTAAACCGTAAACCTGTATAGAGGTATGTGGGTTCTAAGCTGACTGAAGGTGCAGCTGCAAAGCAGTTAGCTATAACATGCGACATAGTGCGTTTCAAGTTGACTTCGGGTATATCTTCTTACGAAGAACATGTCGAACTCGAGCAAGTTTCCATACGTTATATGCTTATACGCGGGAGTTTGCAAATTTGCAGATCTAAGATGAGCCACTAGAACATGCGGGATTCTGGTCTAAGCATGCTGGGATGTCCCAAGTCGACTGATGAGGCTCAACGAGGTTGTTGGTGACGTAATGGCGTGAAAGTACTTGTGGGAAGGCAGTCCAACACCTGTATGGATGTGAAGGCCCCATACTTGCCAACACCAGCAGAACCCCTTAACTGAAGGACTAACATAACAGCCCATGAAACGATAGTTTGAAGTCATGCAGAGGGCACATATCAGCATGCTTGTGCTGAAAGATCGTGCTGAGGTCAGCTCAGCGCCAGTGAATCAATCTGAAAAGGTTCGCCACCCTAGTCTACATCCAAACTGTTTTTGCAGGTCTCTAAGCTTGCGCATTGATGAGCCTTTACGGAACATAACTCAAACAGCCGACAGGTCTGGAGGGTGCGATCCGAGGCGGAAAGCCTAGAACAACGCTCTCAAATTCTCCAAAATGTGAACTAGGTTTAGGGCTTAAGGTTGTAGTGCTACGGTTGAGGGTTTGAGACCGAGTGATCCAATCCCATGGCCCTCGTTTTAAGATTCCATGACAACTGCTGGTTTTTCAGGAGTCGTAGAAGAACTTGCTGTTGTCAACGACAGTTCCAACTATCTCCCTCAGTTGAGGGCATAAACCTATATGCCCATATGCCCCAAGCCCTGTACATGCCACCAGAAAGCCCTATATATATATATAACCCCAACGAATATTCCTGAAGTAAGGGTTACTTCTTGCGTAAAATCTTACTGGGGGTAAGTAGGGAATGAGAGGTCATGATCTCTATATAATACCCAACTGACATATTTCCTTATTCCCTACTAACCCTAAACCCTGCATGTTCCCTTGCACCCTACTACTCCCTCCCCAGTAAGAAATTGCTGCAGCAAGGCGTCGAGACAGCCGGTGCGGCCGACTCGTGCCTTGCACGCAAAGGAGAATCGGGACCAACTTGGGACCGTTTCTGTTGCAATTTGGTTTATGGCTTGGGGTTTGGGGCTTAGGCATCACTAAGTATAGCAATAGCACAAGTTTTTTCATAGTGGCAAGTGTAATAAGAATCATGATGGGCATCCAATCTGGACCACTTGTTGGAAACAACCTGCGGCTTTGGAAGCAGCCTATACTCCCCTCCCCATTATACTAAACATCTCCCAAATAACAATTATTTTCCCCCGGAGGGACAAGGTAGGGACGAGGTCGGGGCTATTAAGCCTTGCGCACAACTTTGCAGTTTCCAGGCTTAATTCAGGGTTACACTGGGGGGCTTAATATAATGGAAAGAACAGGGGCTATATTGGGTTTACATACAATGTCTTTTCCAGTCCTACAAGCATGCTGGGACCTTGTAGGACTTGAAGGGCCTTGCCTGCAAAAGCAGTCCCGATGGCACGTATCTGCATTTTCAGACTCGTGGCACTTGATAGGTTGTGACGATCAATCCCCCACTGATCCATACATAGATTTTGCAGCGAAACAGCACTTGGAATTCGGTCCCCGGCTATCTGGCAGGAAGCTGAGAAAACTCAGGGGCAAGCAGCACAAGGCCACTGCCCTAACAATCAGTCCCCCAGCCCTAGGCCCTAGGACGGAACTGATACAGCCTCCCGTTTTCTACGTGGCTGGGCATTCATGAAGAAGGGGAAGGGTGAGTGTTGGCTGGGGCGGGGACGGGAATGGCACGAATCATCTTATGGCTTCCAAAAAGCTTGGCTCCCGTTCAAGCCCCCAATAATATAAGGCACCTTGTACAGTGAGCTTTTGCTCCGAAAGAAATATGTTCCTTTGCAGGACTTTGCAAAGCGTTCGGCCCCATGAAGCCTCTTTAACCAACATGCAGCCTTGACTACGTATCTCCTAATTTTCAACTTTTCCTGAGGACCATGGATGGATGTCATGGTGAGAAGGGACGCTACCCCCTTGAGGTCGAAGGGTGGTGCCTTCAGCTTCAGGCATTACCCCCACATGCCGATGGGATACTGTTCGAGCATTCGCATCCACAAGGGATCACTGAAATTGTTGTGGCCCTTGGTCTTGCTGCCGGTGCGTGTGTGCGTGATTGGTTCGACCACCCTGCCCCCCATGCCCCATCTCTGAGCTAATGTCCCCAGCTTAGTACCTCTGTGAGGAATCACACAAGGAAGAGCTTCTCTTCCTGTGAAGTGGGCTATCTTGCCAAGTGACCAATTCCAACCCAAGCCGCCTGGCTTGGGGGGGCGGGCCCATGGAGGTTTGGGTGACACACCCTGCCCTGTAATACCGGCCCGGAGCGTTGAACTTTGTGCTGGAGCCCCGATGACGCATGCGGAGGGCCAAAGAAGGTCAGAGGGACCGTTTCTGTAGGCAGGAGGGCGCCCCAGGTCGACACTCACTCACTCACTCACTCAGAAGGGACGATAATCTTCTTCTAAGATAAGATTCGACAACTCCTACATGCAGCAACTTTTCCTTGGCTCTTGTTCTCGAGGCCACGTACAGCCAAAGGGTGCAGGCTCATGCCTGCTGTCTTTAGCTGTCTTCTTTTTGTTGCCTTGGCCTTCATGGGTCTGACTGGTTGCCCCTGTGACGTTCTTGAAACCTCAGACCTCCAGGTGACCAAAGCAAGGCTGACTTTCCTCCTTGACATCCCCTGCCCCTAACACTAGCAAAGATTAAAGCCTCCCACTCCCCAATAGTGGTATATCAGAACTTTGGGACCATTACATGTTAGCGGGGGGGAAGGGGGGTTTAGTTTTTGGGGGGAAGGGATGACCATGGACATACCAAACCTTGGCGCCTACTTGTCAAAAGAACGCCAGGCTGCCGTCTCCTGTGTGAAAAACTTGAACAGATCCAGGATACCAACCCAAAATTTCAGGCTCTTTATCCCACACCCATAGCCCCACATCCTAGACCCGAAAATCCCAAAACCCAAGATTCAGAAATGACGCAGCCTCAAGAGTTATAACTTCATAAGCAAATCCAAGATGCTCCCACAAGTGGACCCAGCCCCCATCCTGGCAGTCGTCATCCGCGGTGCACAAGACAAATCCTGGGCTGGTGTTGGGATACCAATGTGACCCTAAAAGGCCTGCATGGGGGTTTCTAAGAGCAGGTGTCCTTTTTGGGTATCTCTGTAGAAAGGATTGCAGAAGCTTATAGTATGATTGGGGTACAGTATATAAGGCGGGCCCCTATTTACAGAAACCTTGCATGCTGCAATGTCTAAAAGCATGCAGCAAAAGCACGTCGGTCCCTGGACTCCTCACTGCCCATACAAATTTGCGGTCTTCTGGAAATGCCACTTTCGGACTACTGCCGTTTTTGGGTGCATGTGTGGTTGCATGTGTGCGTAGGGGAGGGTAAGGGATGCCTCTCCATAAATGAATTCCTTAATGACAGTTCTCCAGCTCCACAAGCCAAGCCCAACAGCCGAAGCTTTCAACGAGTGAGATTCTCAAAGCTCTTCTACCATGGTGACTGAACTTTCTAGTTCTTAAAAAGGAATATGGGAATATAATCTTTGTATAGCCCCTGTATAATACACTCTCACTCCCGTATTCCCAACTAAGAGCCAGTAAGTGAGGAGGTTGCCAGGTATGGCTTTCAGTTTATGGCTACGCGTTTTAGGGTTTGGGCCTTATTTCTAAGTGGCCCCAACACATCCTATAAGGTACCAGCCGTTGCCAATGTTGTATACACTCTTAAATTAGGCCCTGCGCGCGAAGACGAGAATACGCAAAACGTGCAGAATCTGGGTTGGATGGTCTTTCTCACTTGACTCCCCATTATAACCCCCAAGCTGTAAACCCCACATCTGTTTGAACCCTGTGCCCTAAACCCTTGACTCAAACCCCTAAACCTCAGCTCAAGTTCCGCATCAGCAACTTAAGAGCAACCCAGGAAAAACAAGCTTGGGGATATCTTTTCTCTGCCAATACATCAACTTGGGTTTAGGACTTGGGGCTTGTGGTTTAAGACTTAAGGTTAGAGGTTAAGAACTTAGGTTAGGACTTAGGGCTAAAGGTTCAGGACTGAAGATTGAGGGTCTAGGACCTAACGTAACTGCAAGACTTTAAGGCTTAGGGATACGGCTGTAGGTTTTTAACGCAAACCTGGAGGCCATGAGGTTTGGTGATGTTTTGTTCTGCACCTATTTCGCATGGGCGCCTGTTGCTCCGGGGTAGCCTTTGTTTCGGCCTTGGCCTTGACGCCCTGGCCCGCGCCCTGTCAATGACAAGTTGTGAGCTGCTGGCGTTCGGAACCATGTGAGCTAGCCGTGCCTCGCTCACTATAGAGTTGTTGACCGCCAGCAGCCGTGAAATTGCCGCTCTCGCAGGTGCGGGCGGTTTTGCTGGCTCTTGCGGAGCCGGGTGGTCGCGGCGGGCTGCTTCCAGGCTGAAGGTCTGTCAGATCAGGAGCATGTCTGCACGCAAGCGGAGGGAGGAATCGTGATTATGCGCCTTGAGGAGAGCTTCTGTGACGTTCTTCAGCACCAGCCGGTGCACCACAAGGGCGTGGGGCGCCAGGTCCATTCGGCGAGCAAGGAACTCGCGCACGGCATGAAAAAAAAGAGGGCAAGGACAACGGGGGCTGGATGGTGAGTCTGAAATCCAAGGCCTTATGGGTGTGCTGCATGTCGCTGTCGCGTAGCGCTTCCAGGAGGTTGCGATGCGTCATGGAACCCGTCGACAGCATGTCACCTAAGTGTGCAGCACCTGCGAGGAGGGAGCAATTCAGAATCGCAAGCGGGTTCAAATGACCCGCCTTCGGTTGCGATGGAGTAATTGCGCGGCGGCAAATTTCGCACAAGCAGCCTTCCTCATACATGCATTCTGGGCTGAGGTTCTTCCATTCCTCGGAGGTCTCTGGCAGCCAGTTCGCTGACATTGCGACGGTCGAGGGGAGGGCTGGGACTGTCAGGGTTTCCCTCTACTCTTACCTAGCCTTTTCAGGGCAACGGCTGCAGCGGCCCTGTTATCAGGAAGAGACTCCCAGCCAAGTGAGGGCCAAGTTACTGGAGAGCTCAAATAAAGAAATCACAAGGCCAGGTCCCTTCAGAGGTTGAAAGATCTTGCCACTGGATGGTGGCTCGGGCAGTGCTGATTCTGAGTTTGCGTACGTCTGCCAATTTGCTAGCTGCAGATCTGGAATCTATTATTTCCATGAAGTCATGAAGTGTCGTCGTCGTCCTCGTCCTTTCCCTCTTCCTCGTCTTTGGTCATTGTCGTTGTTGTCGTCTTCGGTCATCGTCGTTGTTCTGGTTGTCATAAACATCGTCTGCATTCTTGTTGTCATCGTCGTGGCACGCAGGGGCCCAGCCAGCTTCCCAGGAAGGGGGAACACGCCACGCTCGGGAACATGAGCGGCCGGGCCACCACACCTTCCCCCCTTCCCAGAACTCTGCGGAAATAGCGTTCGATGAGTTTGGAGCCCCGGCTCCCAGGGTGCGGCCAGGCCGTCCCCCGGCCTTGTCAGGCAGAAGAGAATGAAAGAAAATACAGCTGTGAACTGAGCACTATGCAGCTTCTGACTGCAAGATGGACAAACCCGACGGCTAGTTTTGAATGTTGCCTGTTGAGAGCAATTGGAAAGGGCACGGAAAGCTTCTCCCTGTATCATTGGAGGACACTCCAACAGTTCTCTTGTCGGCGTATTTCAACCTGGTAGTTGACTCGCCCCACCGACCGGGATCAACCAGGCTCACCTCCATGGAAGTGCCCAGGCTTGCCGAAGACGCCCACAGCGTCGCAGAGCCAAGTCCTCGGTGAAGTCGACGTAGAGATAATCTCGTAGAGCTCATTCCCCCAAGCCCCGGCCATAGGTCTCGAAAACCGGGGTCTAGTGAACAGGAGATCGTGAATACCTCGCGAGAAAGCTTTAGGGGCCAAATCCCTTTTTTAACATGGGCAAGCAGCTGAATGAATGGGGCTTGGCGAGCTACGGTTGGTCAACAAGGTTTCTGTAGGGCTTAAAGCCTAAGTACCACGGGGCTCTTGCGGTCTCATGAGAGACTGTGCCAAATCAATCTTCCCCCTAATATGGGACTATTCCAAAGCAGGGCCTTGTCAGGGACTGTGTCAAGTTAGGGCTTTATTAGGGTCTGTTTCAAATTAGGACCTTATTGGGGACTATTTCAAATTAGGGCCTTCGCAGGGACTGTTTTGAAACAGGGCCTTCTAATGGACTATCTCAAATTAAGGACTATTTCAAATTCGGGCCGTAGTAGGGGCTATTTCAAATTAAGGCCTCGTTAGGGACTATCTTAAATAGGGGCCTTACTAGGGACTATTCCACATTAGATTTATTAGGGACCATATTTCAAAGTAAGGCCTTATTAGACACTATTTCGAATTAGAGCCTTCTTGAGCACTATTTCAAACTAGGGTCGTAGTAGGAATTATTTCAAATCAGACCTTACTAAACAATATGTTAAATTAGGGACTTATTAAGAATCATTCGGAATTAGGGACTTATTAGGGACTATTTCAACGTAGGATCTTAGTATGGACTATTTCAAATTAGGGCCTTCGCGAGCTTGCTATGGTGGAATGACTCGGATCCCCAGTAGCGGCGAACTAAATCATCCCGCTTCTTAAATATGGCTGCGCTCGCGGTTTTGGGTTTAGGGGCTTATGCGGTTTTTCTGCTTATAAAGAACTTAGGACCCCCCCAAGAGAGAAAAAGTGGTTCCCCAGCACCCCCGGTGACTCCGCAACTTGCTCCAGAAGCTGCAGGGTGTGACCGTGAACCTCTTAAGCATACCCTAATGGCTCAAGTACCTAAAAAGAAGATCATTTGGTCTAAAATGACGTATATATGGGCCCATTTCGGCCCACATTAAATCCTCTGGCCCCAAGACCCTCCAAACTGATTCTGCATGTTCAGCTATGTATCGTGGGTTTATGGTGAGCGAAAATTGAAAAGCGTTACCAGGACACGCGTAGTAAGGTCATCCTCCAACCCCGAACCAAGTAGCTGGGATTTGCGACTGGGCGAACGAAGCCGCCGGAAATCTCCCAACAAACGAAGAGATCCGATGAGGTGCCTTCCTCGACCAGTCCTCCATGATTTACTTATCGGCGGTTCGTAGGGCATGATGGAAGATCATCTCTATATAATAAACTCCCCTTCCCTGCTAACCACCAGTCACCAGTAAGTTTAGGGTCCGGGGTTTCAAGATGGAAAGGGTCTGGGGTTGCGGATGTAAGGCTTGGCGTAGGCTTTAACTGCGTTTGGGGTCATGCCTTGGGAGCACTGGGTCCCCTGCTCGAGGGTTGAAAGGTATACTGCATATAGGAGATACCTATGGGGATTCTCAGAAGGGAAGGTCCCTCTAAAAATCATGGAGTTTAAGAAGTTCTCATATATGGAGAGGAGCAACGACAAATCTAGGGGAGGAGAGAGAGGCATCTCTGAGGCTATTTCTACGACATTTGGCTTCAATGATGACGGTAATGCCTGGGGTTTGGGGCATTGGGATGCTTCAGGGCCCATGGGTTGGGCATTTAGCAAGACTGAACAGCAATGAATGCATGGAGGAGTCTCCAAAAGGTAAAAAGCTTGGCCTCCCCCAAACCAACATGGAACATCCTGAAAAAAGGCACTGCGCAGGACTACTGTCCTAAAATCAGGTCTATACCCCCCACTCAGTAATAGGAGTTATGCAGGCCGTATATAGGGCTCATGGAAAAGAACATGGAAGCTACTGTTCAGGGTTTAGGGTTCCATGTGTAGTTCAAGACTACTGTCCTGTCACATCAGGTCTATATGGTAGTTATAAGGAGACCGCAATATCGACCCTAATATACTATAGTCCTTATTATGAGGATCTCCAAAAAGGTACCCCTAATTTTGGGAAACCCCTATATACGGGGCTCCATGCGCCCTTGGCTTTACACTTAGCCAGGAAGAATCAAGGATCCTTTCGGGGTATTTACTTATCTTATGCCTGTAACTCCAATCACCTATAGTTCTGTTCTGTTCTTTTGGCAGGTTCGGCAAGGTGCCCTTCTCAAATTCGCATTCAAGGACCTACAGCTTCGTAGAACTTACCTCCAATAAACAGGTACAGCCGAGAAGTCCATGGGTGCTACGAAAAAAAACAATATCTGGGAAGACCGCCGACTGTAAAGCATCTCCGAAATTGCAGTAGATGCCGGCAGATGTACACTATGTGTACATGTGTACTTGAGCTAGGGCTATGGGTGAGGGCCCTGGATTGATGTTGGTTCAAGGCTATGGCTCCCTAAATGCCTATTGCACCTCTTTTAGGTCCAGCTTTTCCAAGCTGTTTCGGAAGCGTAAAGGAAACGTGCTCGGCGCTGTTCAGTCTGTCCCCATAGGTTCCCCTTACCTTTTCTCCAACCGACTTGTACTTGAAGGTTCAGAAAGCCTAAAACCTACACCCAGGGGTAGCTGTGGACTGGTAACTGGGAGGACAAAATGTATATAACTTCCGTTCAGCCACCCGAACTCGCAACTACCCATGACTTACAGGGGCCTAGAAGGGAATGAGGGAATACATTATACAGGGATTATATTCCCTTATCCCCCACTACTGACCAGTATGATGTTCAAGGTTTAGGGTAGATGAAGGTCGAGGAGGTGGATTGATACGTTTGGCTGAATCCACGCTTACCTCCAAGGTGTGAACCCTAAGTTTGTGGCTATAGGAATTCTGTGTTGCGTTTACCATACTGGGGGCTAGCAGGGAATAAGGATATACATTATATTGGGGTCAAGTGGGGATTAGATTCCCGTTTTCCTTACTAAAAGTTATGGGATTCTACAGAAATTTCAGGAAGATGATGTGACGGGGGCATCACAGGTTTCAGGGTTTTGAGGCAGGTTTGGGGCTTTGACCCAGGCATCCTTTTCAACGAGGCTCCAACCAAGAGAATACCCATGCCATACACCTCAAGACCCAAATTCAGTTTGCATTCAGGCACTGTGCGGCCAGCTGGAAGCAGTTGCTACCATAAAGCTCAAACCCTACGCCCTTAACTCTAAATCCGAAACCCTCAAACTCCAATCCTACAGTCTAAATGCAAAACCCTAAAACTTAAATCCTAGAGTTCGTTCTCCAGAAGGCCCTGGGTTTACATTCAAAATTCTAAGCCAAAACCCACCGGATCCACCGGGCCTACCCAGCCGCCATTTGCGCAGCTGTCACTACGCCTCAGAACATAACGGGGGGTTTACATAAGGGATAATGGAAAAGAAAGTGGAAACTACTATAGTGGGGTTCTATAGGGATTCTATAGGGTCTAGAGTTAAGAGGACAGAGCGTCAAGGGCTTGGGAAAGAGGAACGGTTGTGTTTGCACCCATTGCTCGGAGATGGGGTCTCTGATGGGTTGCCCAATCTCCACAAGCATCAGCCTTGAAGACGGGCTAGTGCAGCCCTGATACGAAGTTTACAGTCCCCCTTAAGTACATAGAATATGGGGTATATGGGGGTCTCATTATAGTATACACAAAGCCATATTCTATCTACTTTAGGGGGACTATAAGATTTAGGGTTGGTGGGGAGCAGTGGCCCTATCGTCCCAGAGGTGCTTTTGGAGTCCAAGCGACTTGGGATTCTCCATGAATAGGGGGCCCGAAAATGAACCCCCAACCACTACAGTCCTTGTTATATGTACTCCCCAAAAAGAATACCCTAATTTTTCGAAATGGCAACTTGAAACTTTTGAGTGCTACCTTTCGCGCGGCTAACCGCTGACACTAACTTTTGAATGGAACCCCAGCAGTTGTGGGTAGCTCAAAGTGGGGAAGTTTCCATGTTGGTCATATATACAGGTCCAGTAAGATCCTCAACAGACACGTCAATACTCCTCTTTCAAGCGGACGGGTGCCTCCACATGAGCCACTGTCTAAACTTCTAGTCTCCCCCTTAATAAGCCTATAATACTCCCCTATACAATCCGGTATATAACCCTCTTTAAGGAGTTTAGACTATAGCTCATATTTACTTGCGGGGGATCCCTGACTTGTGTGCGATGTTTTGAAGTCTATGATGGTCTCCAAGGAGCCGCGGACGGCGTCAGGTAGCCACATTTTTGGGGCATGACACACAGTGCTATCAAACCTCTGTCCCACTACTCTCGCCTGCGACTACAAGATTCCAGAGCCTTTGAAGTAGTTTCCATTCTCCTTTCCGTTATCCCAATGTAACACAAACCCTAAACCCTAAACCCTGAATAGTAGTTTCCATTTTCTTTTCCATTACCCCAATATCCTGGGGGAGTTGAAATGACCTGAAGGAGCAACCCATTGGCTTTTGCTGCAGCAAAGGTACACGCCCAAGAGGTACTTTCCATTCGCTTGACAGCGGAGAAGTGACATGAAGGGAGGCTGTAGGCAGGCGTTTGCAAACCTAGAGGAGGTTTACTGCTTTACCCAATCCTTGCTTTGCGGGTAAAGTTGGAGGCAAGCAGGATTTGGATCTTTTAGTAGGTAATTAGGCTAGACCACCCGCATTTACTCCAGAATTTTCGCATTCCATGGCCAGCAAGGTGGGCGGGGTCTGCTCATCTGTCCCTGAATGCATGGCTGTTCATCTGCTCTTCTGCACAGAATCAATCTCAAGCCGTAGCTGCATGGGGCAGAGAGCACCAATGCACCAAGTTTATGAGCTTGTAACGAGATGGAAGCAGAGTTTGCCCGTAGCCCTTGTCGACTTCAAATTTCGGAACTCTCCTGGGAGCCTAGAAACATGCAACCAATGGATCCAACATAAAGTTAAGGAGCAGTTGTGCAAATATGTCACTGCAGACCCCAAAAATGGTCCTGAGGAGAGCCCCAAGAAGGCGCCACAACTAAGTGGTTCAAATGTAGGTGTCTAAGCATAACGAGCAAAGTCCACCTAGACCCCAAACATCCCCAAACCCATACCTCCCTGGACCCAAACTCTCACACTCACCCGAATTTCCTCAGCCCAAGAGGGCTTGAGGGACTTAGGGGATGGCTTTGCTGTGGGCTGCTGGGGTTATGTCTTTGCAAGTTTGAACCATTACCAATGCGACTTAGGTCTAGTTGAGATGCCCTATACCATAACTATACAAAGAATCTAGAAGCATGATAACTACTGGTAATTGTCCAGGCCCCCACAATAGGACCTCTGGACCCAAAATTGCCACCCTTTTGACGTCTCAAGATAGATGGACGGCATGCCATTGCCTTCGGCAACTGGCGAGTCTATGCTTCTGCTGAACCAGCTTCAGGCGACACGTCAGCGACTCAGGAACCAGACGCTAGGTAGGCATATTACCATGCAGAAGTGGATTAATTACCTACCTACAAAGATTATAGGTTGGAACCTGGTCATGAATTCTATGCTGGCTATTTAGGCCAGAGGCTGACCTTGCTAAGGGCATGCTGACTATGACCCCATATTCTTGGGATGCAAATTGCGCCAAATCTCTGATATCTCCAACAAAAACTCACCTTATCTCACGCAAGCCAATTTCTAATCCGCATTCAGGTTTCAGTGAAGTAGCTGTGCATCCACGAGACTGCAATTAGTATATGCTCTGCGCTAAACCAAGCAGAACAGAAGTAAGTTCGACAGGGTCTCCACATCGACCCCATGGAGGGTTGAGAGCGTTTGCCCTGCGAATTGGCACTACTGCCGCATTTCTGTGCAGTGGCAGGAGCCCTCAAGACAAATACCATCAGCAGCTCAGGAGCCATGACCGGGTTTAAGGCTCAGAGACCAGGTGGTGGGCAGCAACATCTGCTTTGAACACTGTATATATACACATATATATATACATATATATTCATATATGTATCTATATATATATATATGCTTGCCCCCCCCCCCAAGATCTACGTTTAGAGTGTTCCCGCTGTACTGTCCCTCATTTGGAGTGGCTGAGAGCATTTTCCTCTATATGAATTCCTTTTAAAATTTAATTAAAAATTGAAGAGAAATCTTTCATTCCTGGATTTCTCATTTTTGGAAGGATTTTCCTCTATATGAATTCCTTTTAAAAATTAATTAAACATTAAAGAGAAATCTTTCATTCCTGGATTTCTCATTTTTGGAAGGATTTTCCTCTATATGAATTCCTTTTAAAAATTAATTAGAAATTGAAGAGAAATCCTTCATTCCTGGATTTGTCATTGTTGGAAGGATTTTCCTTTATATGAATTCCTTTCAAAATTTAATTAGAAATTCAAGAGA